TTTTTTTTTTTTTTGGGGGGGGGGGGAGAGGATTGGGCACTATCCAAAGAATAATCCTGCACAGCAAAAACTGCTGAAAAAAATTGCGCAAGGGGAGCCATAGGAACAGAAATCGAGCAACTGCTTTTTACTATCCGGGTCCTGTTTTCTGATGTTGAAAAATTCTTGCACAAGCTAAGAAGACGCAGCTTTCACAGCTTGAGAAGTGCAGTTGGACAGTCTAGATGGGAAGAAAAGTTCGCATTCTCACTGTTGTTGAGTTACAGTCAAACCTCCCGTAAGCGACCACCCAAAATGTCAAGCTTAGGTGGTCGCTTATGGGAGGTGGTCGCTTACGAGAGCTTAGACCATATTAGGTCACAATTTTGCCTCGTTAGCATATGGTAATTTTTAAGGTCGTCACTTTTAAGTCTGAAAGAGTACAGTGTATGTGCATTTTCTACTTTAAATTTTTAAATGTTATTGTCACGTGAAAAGTCAATTTCGAGAAAAACTCTAGTTCTCAGTCCCATTGAGAAATGGGAAGACGTTCTCTTTATCTACTACAATCACCAGCACAGTTCTTGACATGAATTACCTCACTTTACTGTCGTAAACACCAAAGAATTCCGGCTGCCTCGCGCACCATATCTTTACAACATATTCTAGCGCTGACTTGCCGGTCGGGTCAGGAACACCGCTCAGAAAGTCAAGCGTGATCTGTAACTGACTGTTCATCAGGTGAAGAAATGAAAGGACCAGCGACTGTGAAGGCAGATAAACAGAAGAATTAGGACTAAAGCAACGCCTTAAAGTAGCTCAGTCACGGAATTTTGAGTTATTTAGCCACGTACAAAATTTTCTTTAAATTGAAGGAAACCTGAAAATAACAGTTTACTAAGATAGAAAAACACCAAAGAGATAAAAATAAACATAAAAGGAACAAGGATGGCTAAGGATGGAGGAGATTGACACGGATTACAAGCGAAGAACTTGAAAAATTTAGGATAAACTTTTGAAGATGCGAAAACCGTGACGTAGCTCACCGTAACTTGGTTGAAAGTGAAACTCTGGAAACGAAAGTTGACTTGCAAGGATTTCAATGAAATAAGTGTTGCAAAACATACGTCTGTGATTTACCTGGATTATGCTCAACGTTTCCGCCTGTTGAAGTTTGCTAAGGACTCCTCTTAATAATAAGTCGAGATTTTCACCAAGGTTATTTCCAATCTGCCATAAAAAGAAGGAAAAAAACCCAATTAATATCCCGTACTAACAGCATCTATATAACTTTTTCTCGCGCATTTTCTACATTTGTCAATGGGAGAACTTGGCTTTCCGTCAAGACGCTTTTCCTGAGACGATCAGGATGTTATATAAAAGTAAAAGGTCTGCATACGAGCCAATTGGCCCATCAGGCCGAAGCTTATCCCGGTTTCTGTAGCATGAAGCGACTAGGAGTATTTCTACTCCCCCTTGGATGGGATGCTGGTCCATCGCAGGGTTACCCCCAGCATTAAATTTGCCGGTATCCATTTATACACCTGGGTGGAGAGAAGCACTTTAAGAGTTAAGTGTCTTGCCCAAGAACACAACACAATGTCCCCGGAGACGAGCGCGCTAACCAGGATTTTATATACCTGCTTGAATTAGTTGTAAAAACGTTAACAGAAGCTAGGATATAATCAATGATGGGGGAAAAGGTTCAACTCATACTTTAGGAGAGCTGTCAAACACCCACTGATTTAGGTGTTTCAAAAAGACGAAGATAAAGAGGAGTTTTCCCTTTCAAGAGCAACCCGGCATGGCCGTGCTTTATCAGCGAAGGGTATGAAGGCGGTAACAGCGCACGCACAGTGCGTTCGACCGCTGTCGACGTGTTGGCTCCACAGCAGTGAAACGTACTGCGCGCGCGGCACGCTGTTCCCTCCGTCGTTCCCGCCAAAACTGCCGCTTACCATCTCAAGTTTCCGAAATCCTTTTGAAGACAAAAGTTTAAACAGTTACTGAAAAGTTAACCTTTGTACGGTACATATGCATAGAGAATTTGATTATTGTTATCCACCTTGTTTATCTACAAGTTATTTGATTTTCTTCTGTTAGTTTTCTTACATTTTCTTACAAAAATCTTGCACCTTTTCGCTCCAAACTGACCACGAAAACCGGAAGTGACGTTAAATTTTTGTACGGGAGGAGAGGCACAAGCTTATTCAGATTGACTAAATAATTATATCACTTACCTTTTTAATCATTGTAGTTACCAGTCTACCAACAAAGGAGGCCGTGAACTCAGGCGCCCTGGGGTCGAGAAGATGTGAAGTTGCTCGGACAATGTAAGAGATAGCACTGTTCCCTTGAGGATCGCGCCTGGAAAAAAAGGAAAAAAACGACAAAAAGCACAAAAAGCTTCTTTAGAAAGGGTTGGTAGCAGAAAAATATTTCGCTACATTAAACCTGGTCCCTCAACATTAGGTCTTCATAAATTTATGCTTTTTATAGCGTTACTTAGCAAGTTGTAGAGAAAACATGCTTGGACTTATTTTTTAAAACAGTGTTACTCACCAAGCAATCAACTGTTCCGGTGAAACGTACACAAACGCTCTGAGGCATTGTCCACCACCCTAAATTATAAAACCGGGAAAAAAAATTAGGCATACAAAATTACAAAGTCAACATGCCTCAAGAGATGGTTACTGACGAGGTGCTAGAATTAAATTCGACGGGAAAAGGTTTTCTTGTGTAAAAGTATTCTCTGTTTAAGAATTTTTAAAAAAGTCGTAGAACTTTCGGCTTCCAGTCTAAAGCCTTTAAAAATTAAAATGCAAAAACGCGAGATGAGACATGTATGCGAAAAGAGTTTGAAAAAATTGTAAAACGGTAAAATTACGTTTTTTACCCCCAGTTTTAAAGGAAAACGTTTTAGTGTTAATTGGAAATTAACAAACGACTTATATTGCCCGAAGTAACCGTCAATAAACCTCAGCAAGAAACGCTTATGAACAAAAGGAAAAGTGTAGAAATCTTCTGAGGCAACCTCGTTCCTAGGGTCCTCTCTCTTCCTCGAGGAAGAGAGAGGAACCTGGTAACGAGGTTTCTACTGGGGCACTTGAAAGAGTTGTGTCAAAAGAGGCACATCTTGGAAAATTTAGTCCAGTATTTTGCAAGTTATACGATCGTTATCAATATCAATCGTCGCCAATCTCAACCTTGCTTGTTGCTGTTTGGATTAACCTATATACTTCTCTGTTTGTCAACCTCAGTAAACTCTAACCGAATTGAAAGTTTTCTTGGACACAATGGAACATTCTGTACATCGCAGAAATACCACTTTAGGAGTTCCTTGAAACTATATGAGGGTTCAATATAAAGATTCGACCCATATATACGCGAATCTTTTCTGACGTCATTGTCTACATTTTTCCTCATTAACATACGACTGCGCATAGAAGGCATCATGCTACACACGAATTGACTACAAACATTTAAAGAGTTTGTGAAACTTAGTAATTGGTGAAATTTTGGCTCTTTTGGTGAAATATTCGAGGAGAAATTGGCTATCAAAAACTGAAAAATGTTTGGGTGGCAAAAGCGCTAATGAGCTCATAAGTTCTTTGTGAAATTGAAATTTTCAGTTTTCAAACCCGCGTCGCACGAAAAGTATTCAAAACGTCGGGCTCAAATTCCTTGGGACAGTTAAACGTGCTGTGCACTTTTGATATTCAGAATTAACGTTTTTGTAGCTCCATTAGAAACTGCATCGCTTATGGTAATGAGGCAAATATTGTAAACAAAGATTCTCCTATAGGGAGGCAAAGGGAGAGTTCAGGGACTGGGACCAGGTTCCCGTTTCTCGAAAGCCCCGGAAACTCTTCGGGCCCGTAAAGGCATTTTAGTGAATTGGTATTTAAAGACAGAGGGGTGTGTGTATACGCCTGAAACTTCTTGTACGAAGAGAACCTCTGCTCATATGAAGAATGTGTGCATAAAACAGCTCTCTAATCATAAGGTTTGAGATTTTGCTTCGGCTTTTCGGGTGCGAAAACTTTTCGGGACCTACGAGAAACAGGCTCCAGCCCAATAATTATGCAGCAATTGTGCGAGATATTTTGACCCCATGTCTGTACCTGTAACACAGAGTTATCATCTGACGCGAGTATTGTATTGACGACAACAGGAAATACAGAATTGAGAAGCGGCTCCGAGAGAGGGGGCTGGGTACACCGAATGATGTTACACAGTATATCCATACAGACCTGTGAAGATAGAAATATGAATGAAAAAACATGCCAGGACCTTGGAAAAGGAGACAATTTTCTCACAGTCTGGTGGGTCCACACTAAATAACAGAGGAAAACACTTTACCACATGGAGACACAGATCTAGACATTCGTGGATTGCATTTCATTGCAGTTACATCACTTACATGCAAGAAAAAGGAAAATTGGTCCGCTTTCGCACACGATAATTAACAAAGAACGGTAGGCGAAAAACGCTTGCTTTTCACAAGCGCATCATTGACTTTGCGATGAAAATCTTTTCAAATAACCAGCATTTTTTTGTTTGGATCTGTTTCTAAGGGAGGGGCAAAAAATTTGCACGAAATCAAGCATGGGTGGAGGAAAAAAAAATTCAAAAAAGCCTCCAGAATAATGTTAGTAAGTTTCAAACCAAGGCTCATACGAAACGAGAAGGATAGAAATGCAAGTAGATTGAAGAGTTCAGAAATTTTGGAAAATGGAGTGGTCAATAAATAATGACAGGAGCCATAATCGGGGACGGAGACCGTAA